ATAACTTTGAGAATCCGCTTGACCGAGAACCAGTATCGAGAACGGCCTTACGCCGTTATGCGATAAGTCGCGTGCCCGTTAAATGTTCGCACCAGTGGATTCGTACGTTTCGTTTGTTCCGCGCTCTCGCATGGGCATCGGAATCACGGTTACGCCGCGCCACACAGCGCAGCGCCATGCCGCCGACCGACAATAAATTACGTCGTACGAGCTAGTAAATTAAAAGCGCGCCTTCGGTTACATAATATAGCAGGTGTTCGAATCATTCTGACAATCCTAATATTAAGATTGGACGGTCTGCACTATTGAAGATTTCATCCATAATTCTGTTAATACGGTATTTATTATCATATAAATGAATTCGAATAAAATGCATTTTGTTTGACGTCAGCTTAAATGCATATTTGATTAATCTGGGTTTATTGGTTTTACGTGAGAGTCGATGACATAGTAAGTTCGAGGCTTTAAAAATCACTGTCGAATCGTAGCCAACAACGGGCCCAGTAGGTGGTCAAGATTTTTAATTGACCCGTTCTAAATCCATTACGGGTATCTAACAGTACAATTCCCATTCTGAACCAGTGTCGTCTATTCGATTCAGTTAGCGGGAAGGCATCGCGGCACATATTGGTCGATACAGTCTGTGTTTTGCGGCCACTAAAATAATCCGATCGTATTAGCGACCAGCACGAATATCAATTGGTCCGCACTTTGTACACCCGTAACCCATTTACATGACCAAGTATTACGGTATCTTATTTACCCTGTTGATATCCGATTGGACCGAAATACGTAAACGTGTAGGTGTAACGTGAGAGAATCTGTTAGTTTTCAAAGAGTTGGAGATTTGCGAGGTGAAATATAACGAAAATCCCGTACACGATATTTACGTGAAGTGTGGTATAAAAGCATTAAATACGAATTAAATTACTGTTTTTGAACAGCTAAGATGATAGCACAAAAAGTCTGGGTTTTGTATAGGAAGTTAACGCAACTCACTTTCAATAATATTTGTAATTTCGTAACATTTACATCATTATCGTGTAAGTAAGCTTTCAACTCGTTATACGAGTTTAAACTCTCGTCAAACGAGTTTATCCAATAATATGAATAAGTGAAATACGATACAAATATGTATGTAAATCATGACGCTCGATACTATTTTGTTATATCTGATAACGTTCTTCTCGATATAGCAACACAGAGGGTATAATTAGACTGCGAATGCTTATGCAAATTCGCAAGTTTTATAAATGTCGCTAACAAAAGTAAAACAGGCTCGTTTCAGGTTACTCACATTGAAAACATTATTGTTAATCCTTTAATGCAAATCACTTGTAAATGACTGGAGATGTGAGAAGATGATTTATTAAAAATTGTATGTTACCCGGAGAGCAAGATGTTATTTTCGTTTAATTAAAAAATAAAAATAGAATTTGAGATTTTTATACCTCGTTATTTTTTAGATGAATATTATAAAAGACAGTAATTTCGTTGCTTGACAATTTGTTTTTCTTTCACGTGCTTTTAACATACTGGCAGCTAAGATGCAATTATACTAATTTTATACTGATATCAATTGAGATAAGAAATAAGAAAGACTCGAGCGAAAGATAATGATTAAGAAGCAATCTGAGTGCAGCATGCGTGGCCGTATGCAATCGGAACTGATTTAGAGGACACCGAACGAACATGACACGGCCAGGGGGCCATTGGGTCGATCGGTAGTCAAGGGCGGTCGAACCGCGGCCGCTCGTAAATCGAGGAGGACGACTGCGACGACAAAACGGCCGTTTCCTCGGCGAAATTCCGCGGCGGAAGATTACCGATTGCGATTGAACCCGATGAGACATCCAGGCACCGTTATTCCAGCATGGTGACGCGATGGTATAGGCACCTGGTACGAGTGCCACGTCTCTCTTTCTCTTGTTCTTCGCTCTTTCTCTTCCCTTTCTTTCTCACCGGCGCTGCTTCAGTGCGATGCTCGTTTCGCTTCTTCTTCTTCTTCCTCCACGTCGAACAGCCTCTACCTAAGCACCGCGTGAATCGACCGACTATATGTTCAGAGGGACACCGACGCCCGCTTAGGTCGCACTGTTCACACGTGCACCCGATTTTGCTCTCTTTGGGATCCGCAGCTTTTCCTGTTCCCCTCCATTCTTCTCCCATCCTCCCCAACTGCCCCCCCCTCCTCCTCCCCGGTCTCGCACATTCCTCGCCCGCTCTATTCTATATGCGTACAACCTTGGCTAGATAATTATCATTTATTCGGCACGCAACATTTACTCGAAATTCTGGGTTAACCATCAGTTAATGACAGTTCCTGATCCTGATGGATCTCGGTTCCATTTCATTTATTTCCTGCGAAACGTCTCCACTTTTCATACACACGCGAATCCATCGTATACTCAGCCGCGCTATGCGCGTACGTATTTCGACACGTAATCAAACATCAGGCGACTTAATTGTTTTTCCCGTTACCTGTTAGTCCGCTCATATCATACACGTATCTTTTTACCTCTTTCGTTATAGTTTTTATATCTGGGCTACTGACACATGTGTTTCAAATCTACGTCCGCATGTCTCGGCTCGACACACTTGCGTCAATCATTCGTCGAGCAATTTCAATAACCTTGCAATTTCTAACGTTGCGTACAAAATGGAAAATTGAAAATGAAATTCTGATCTAATTTCAATCATCCGGCAGATTCTCACAAGTATGCTTGTGTCACCTTCCTGCCCGTTACATGAAATTTCAATACGAATGTTTATTAATATTGTTCATTGTGCAAAAATGAGGACAGTATCTGTACGAGCGTGTGAGTCACCAAATTTTGGTTCATTGATCGGAGCAGCGATCGGTGGAGCCTCGAACGCGTTTCAGGATCGAGTCGAACGACCGCTCGAATGTGGAATTCGTGGGTGCCCCGAGGCTACGGTTACGTCAAGTGTCGGTGGGACCCAAAAACCGTTGCTCTCGACTAAGAATAGAATTTCACCCGATCGGTTGGAAATACGTGAACGAAATCCAGGTCTATCGGTACCCGTCGACCGGCGAACAGGGCAAGGGGAGTCGGCGCGGGCGGGGGTAGGTAGGTGGCAGAGCGTGCTCCCGATAGGAATACGAGGAAGTAGCGGAATGGGGGAAGAATTCGGGCGGAGGCGATGGACAAGGGGACAAGACAGGAGACGAGGAACGCGTGACGGGGAACGGGGGAGGGGAAGGGGGAGGACGGGGAGAGGGTAGAGAAAGAGGTTGGCTTGTTTTCAATGGTGTCGTAGCTGCGATCGAATTGTGCGTACCGTTTCTGTCCTCCTTAACCGGCAGCAGTCCCAGTGCTCCCTCCCCCTTCTCTCCGGTTCGGTCGAGGAAGAGTCGTGCGCCGCGGCCTCAGCCAGGTGTACCCAGTGCCTAAGAGCCAGCCGGTCGACGTCGTTATACCCTGCAGCGCGGTGTTCGCGAGGTCCGGTCCGGTATTAACATTGCAAATCGTCGTCGATCTCACGAAGTGCTGCGACAAACCGGTGGTGCACGCGCGACGAATTCAACTGGCCCATCGGACGGAAGGTGCTTCGTTGCGTCGTCGCGTCGCGTTACGTTTCGTCGCGTTGCGTTACGTTTGTGACCGCCGTTCTTCGTTCTGTGTGATAACCGGTGCGACCTTCGAAACTTCGGTTCCTCGATCGTCCCCTCAGTGATAAATCCAGATTTGTGGAAGAAGAAAGAGACAAAGGGAATCGACGGTCCTGTCGAAAATCGTTATCGATAATCTCGAGAGGTACGTTCGGAGCCGCACAGGCAAGTGTGTCGGTGTAATTATTTTAACGCGGAAACAAAACAGGACCCTTGTGTGCTCGCGCGCTCCGGGACCCTTGACCAGCCACCGCAATTCCGTCCACCGCTGTTCTATTGCCGTCAGAATTTGCGCAAACTCAGACCTTTTTTCGTTCGTACCAATTGAACTGCGCCCGCGCGCTCGCTTGCACTTATACGTTACACGCGTTCGCTCGACGATCTCGAAACCGGACCCGATTGTTATTTAGTTTCCCCGCGATGGAAAAACAGCGCTATGGGAACAGAGGTGATGCGGAAACACTGTTATTTGCGTAGCTTTTTTAGCCCCCGGCCGGAGTTACGCGTTTTGATAGAAACCGGGAATAACCTAGCTCAGTCGATGCAATGCAAACATTGCTGTAGAAATAATTTCTTTCCGTTTTAATATAGAAATACGTACGTTGAACTTTATATAAAAATACGTACATGTTACGTGTTATACAAACACGTACATACTTCGTGTTATAAAGTAATTGAGAAATATTGTTGATGGTTAACGAATAGATTAATTTAAATTTGAAAAGCTTGTGAAAGAACTTTTTAATATACGATAGTACACACGTAAAAAATATACAGTGGAACAATTCTCAATCTAATATTTTTAAAAATCTGCAATTTTGTACAAATCGTTAAAAGTAAAGAATTTTGAAGGAAAATTCAGTAGTTACTAAGTTTATTTTGTTATAAAAACTGTGTTTGTGAAAATGATTTGAAATGTTTTAATAAATGAAATTGGACTTTAAATTCAAATTTAATAAACTCAAGAGGTTTTCAATTTTACTTCTGTAGGAGATTAAACGTTTTTTAATATCAAATAAACGTAAAGTCGTCAATCTTTAACTATTGCAGTGCATTTATATCACATATTACGAAGCACAAGTCATAAATTTTTGAGAAATAATTCTTACTGAATTATAAATTAAAAGTGAATAAAACAGAACTGTCGTATTGCATAAAAAGTTGGTAAAAATATAATAAAAAGTATTAAAGATAAGGAAAGCATCTAATTAATCAAATAATTAATTAATCAACTAAAAATTTTATTCTCCCATAATTTCAAGTTCGTTGAAAAGAGAATTTCAATTCACACGATTTTAATATTCATACTCTCGATCGAATCAATTCGACCGGCTCGGAGTAACAGTGAGGCATTTTCTGTTTGCAGTTGAAGAGCGAGAAACAGGTGGAGAACGGCACGATGACAAGACTCATCACGGCGTTACTGCTGCTGCAGGCTATCGCGAGGTTCGGTCGCGTGGCAGCCGCGGATTCCACGCATGCGACCGAGCAGCAACCGGCCCCTTCCGCGGTGCCGTCTGGATTTTCTGGGCCAGATTACACGGGCCCGTCCGCCGGTTCCGACGAGTGCGACCCAGAAATGGTCGGCTTCGAGCTGGTGACGGGCTACGTGTACACCGCGCCCACGAACATGCTCGAGTCCATACCAGGCACGCTGATGCTCACCGATTGCCTGGAGACCTGTCAGGCGAACGACTCCTGCCAGGCGGTCAACTACGAGACGGGCCTATGCGTTCTGTTCAGCTCGAACGCCGACAGTAACCCAGGTAAGATTGAATCGTTACTCATGATCGAATTCGCGCAAAGATCAAACGCCACCAATATACCACCGTATATAAGTTTTAGAATTCATTCTAAAACCTTAACGATCGAAAGAGATTTCATGAGAATTTCAATGAGCAGAAATTCAAATCTATAGCACTATTCATAATTATATGATTCAAAATAATTGCGGATTAATTATGAAATGTTTGTCACGAATTTGTTGAATAATTATTAATAAGGCTTATATAAGCGGGCTGGATATATTGGAAGGATCGAAACAGCAGAGCATCAGTGATGCGACGTGGTGTCGAACGGTGCCACGTACGTATACATAAATGTATACTCTTCGCCAAATATGGGAATTCCTTGAAACGCACCGCTGAATGATTAAACGCCAGTGGATAAAATAGACGTGTGTGTCGTTTCGTCTCCGGGCACCGAGGCTGCTTTTATGCAGCACGTGAATTGCCTCGCTAAAGGGGTAACGGGTTCGATACGATATTCGGACGGTAGACAGCTGTTTGCCCGTTCGGTCGCGATGAAAGTACGCGTCGAGGAGGTCGGAACAGATTCAGGTCAACGTGGAATGCAGCCGCTGTTGAATCGCTGGTAATCGAACTTCTTCCGTTTGCCTTCAATTTCCGCGAGGGTTTAGCATTATTTCATTTCCTGTTACTGTTTCCAATTGAAAATGCTAAGGATACCGAGTGCAATCTAATCAGGATAGAAGACTGAGAGAAATATATACTTGCAATCAGTTTGTGAAATATTCAAACAACTGATGGAACTGCGGAAATAATTAAATATTTGAAAAACTGGTTGTAGAAGAAAAATTAATATAAAAGGTCAATTCATTTGAGACAATGCTGTTCAATACAGCATTTGGATTGAATATTCTCAGCAACGAAGATTGGAGAACGGAAAGAAGGAAACAATTCGTGTTGGAATGCTTAGCGAAATCCGTGTTTTAACCGTGTTACACGTTTGATAGAATTTTCCGTTTCGTATTTTATTCGTCGGACGTAGTGTAGGTGTACATACGTACACTCGATCGTTATTAATCGACCATTTCGCGGATTAAACGTCGAGGCGTAACGTAATCCATGTTTGCCGATAGAATCGCAATATCCCCGCGTATACTGATTTTGTACTCGGTGAAAAATGCTCGATTTTCAAAACTTCGGTTAACATTCGAAAACAACTCGTTTTCTAAAATGCTTTGACGCCTACCATATTCTATCTCGCCTGTTCCATCAATATTCCATAATACAGCGGCTTCATTTCGAGGAAAAGAGTACTTTAAAAGTGGCTCACTCATAAACGTGCATTTGCATACATATAAAAAAATGATGTGCAATATTAAAATAGAGTGAAAATCGATGTTGTGTTCCTGATTGAGCAAATGTTTATACATAACGAGATTGAGCGATAATTTGGTTGAAATTCGGCAGTTTTTTATTCGACTAGAGGAGCAGTACTGGCTTGACGTATTGCCGACGACGAATAATACACTTCTGTTTGAAGAGGTTGATTGAGCCACGTCGATTCGAAATGGCACCTTACGTGCTATCCGCCCTCGATTCGCCTTGATCTTATTTAAATTCTTGCAAAGCACGAAGCGACGTTCGCACTCCGCGGTACAGTTGATTTTTCTACAAAAGGTTCGAGCGAAATATCGAGAGCCGGTCGAAGGAGATTTGTCAAGTACTCCTCGACCTACTACCGCGCTTCGACGCGACGAATCGAAGACAGTTTTAAGCCATTTCAGTGGAAACCGTTGTCCGTATTACGTGTTAAAGTTTCACTCTGTAGTCGCTCATTTTTACCCTCGTTCCCTACCTTCGTCTACGACTCTTTTACATACAGAAAACTGACAACGCGAAATTCTACGCTTTGTGATGCGAACACGAAAATGAATTCGTTTGAGATATTTCACAAAATGAAGAATATTATATTTCGTGTGCGACAGTCTTAATGAAATAATTAAACAATTCATTACTGCTAACGATTGCTTTTGGGAAGCAAGTAGAAAGATCGTTTTGAATATAATTAGTCGAACGAACTCGTGAAACGAACAATTAGATCATCCTCGTCGGGGGTGGCTCAAATTAGCGGAAACTTGTGTGACAACGGATGCGAATGCGAAACAAACTCTAAGTCTTCTTGAATTTGATTAACGAGGATACTAACAGTATTTGAAACTGTAACCGTGGCGGCTAGTTTGATCTGCAACAGTTCCGGACGTTTATTAAAAACCAAATTAACTTACGGCAGTTTCCCATCCACCGAAGTAGCACGGTCGCCGAAGCACACGCTAAGATCTCGAGCAGTATTGATTATATAGAACGTGAGAACTGTAGCTGTGATATCAAATAGGGGGTAATTAAAGAAGAATGTAAACTTGCTTACTTTGCCGCATCTGATGAATTCTCTCGATCTGATAAACCAGACCTTCCTTTAAATTTTTCTTAAGAAACAGTAAATTTGATAAGAGCTATGAAATAAGTTGAACGCGTCCCTCGAGGGGAAAACTTTTTACACCGATGACTTGTAGATGTGACAAAAAAATATGTTGAGATAGAAAGAATCGTGTTCGCGTTTCAATAACAGGACATCGCCGGCGACTGTTGTTCTGGGTGTGTTTTCATCGAATGTTATAGACAAAAGAGAAACAAAATTGACGGAACAATACGGTGCAACGATCACATGCATTGTCATGCGGTTTCATCGCGCCGGTTCCTTCATGAATAATGGATACCTGTTATAAGTAAGTGTAATGAGAAATGCACTAATTGAATCTTCCGGGGTGTAATTAATATAAACTATGCATCCGTGGTCGGCCGCCTGTAAGCATTAATTAAATAGTAAATGAGTGTCGGTTGTAGCAACAGAAAACCGGTGTTATTCCGCTAGGAACTCCTTCCACAGTGATCGCGTTTGCGCGCGTAAAATGCCGAAGCACAGGGCAAAAAGTGTATCATAAAATTTTGCAACTCGTAATTAATTTCATTTTCATTTTCATTTTCCCTCGTTCGTTTTAATTGTTCCTGGAATAATAAGAAATTGGAAGCTAGTTCAGGGTCTCCTTGAATCAGGCGAGTTCTTGCCTGATCGAAACTAAACAGTTGAAAACCATTAGCTCAGATTGCTTCAGTCGCCACTTTTTGTTGATTAATAACATTTTTTAATAATACTTTATTACGTACGTATAATAGTAAGAAAACATTTGAAACGGATGCAATTAACCTAACCCTGATAATTGTTAAGGAACTTTAGATAAACTGCTGTACGTACGTCGTTTCATCCATCATTGGGGAATAACGAGCAACAAAGTTCTTCCGCGTGTCCTGAAATTTCAAATATCGCCGCGGGAAGTTACTCGGTCCCAATACAAACGCGAGAGTTCAGAATTGAATTTGAACAATCGCTGAAAGAGGAACACTTTTACAACAATGAAAACCAATTTCCGTGGTCCGTGTCGCGCGAATTCTCTTCCTTGCTACCGCTACTACATGCTCGGCGATTCAATATTTCGTAAGGTGCGGAATTATTCAAGAAGCTGCGTTCGTTTCGTTCAAATACATACATACATATATGCCGGGCGAAATAAACGCGTGGATCGCGTCCGCGAAAACATCCGCGAAAATATATGTAGAGAGGTCGAACAAAGAACTCGCTCATTTTATTCATTGGCAATCAGTTTCCACGTATACGGGAATGCGAGGGACTGAATTGATCTCAACGAGGATAATAAATAATACCTTAGGATCGTCTATTTAATAATTGCGACAGTTTTTTTAGTCAAGAAGATCTGAAAAATATTTCCTGCCAACACATCTTCATATTTCCGTTTCGAGAGAACTAATTACAGTTTGCCAGATGATTAAAATAGAAATATTCAACCTAACTAAATGGACTGCATAGCTTAATCTAGCAATTCCCGACTAACAAAGCGCAGGGACAGATATTTTGCAATCGATGTTGCGAGCACGAGATCGATAATCAATTATACAACGAGACTGGAAACTAGCCAAGGGTCTCCATTACGTTCCATAATTAACGGGGAAGAAAAAAAGAGGAGACCTAGGGAACGTATCATCGACATTACGCGTTTTTTGTCGGGGCGTCGGTATCAGAAAAATTGAAACGCGAGGCACGCACATAATGATGATGACCGGACTGGAAAAAAAAGGCCGATGAGGCGGAGTGAGATTACAACGTTGCGACTAGGGGTAAAGTGAAATGGGAATAGAGTCGGAGCAATAAACATACGGAAGATTCGAGGTACGTAAGGTATGTACCTTGCGCATTGCCGATCGTTTACCGTAAACTCGACGGGTTCTCGAGTCGACGTATCGGTGTGTGTGAGCACGCTGCTTGTGACAGTTTGACGTCTACAAAGCATCCTTTTGCTCCTCTTCACCATATCTTTCCTTTCCGCCAATTTCCTCCTCTACTGTCTCTGTCGCTCGTTTCCCTCCTTTTCATCCGCCCCCCCCCCCCCGCTCTTCCCCCTTTCCGACCTCGGTGGGCTCGACTGATGGTCGATGAAAATCGGACGCGTATACGACTTTAAAAGCTAATTGCGTCACTTTGAGCGAGCACCGTAAAATCGGTCGCGTCAAGCGTGCTTGCTCCCGTGGTATTTTCGAGGAGGAAAAAATGTATAAGCAGCGAAACGGGAGGAGGAAAGTAAAAAAGGAAGAGTACGACAAAACAAGAAGAAGGAGCAGTGGAGCGTTTGAGGATCGGCTAATCGGGCAGCGCAACGTGGCCGTGGCCTCCTCGGCTCAGCGCCGAGGATGCGACCGACGTGGTTACGCTTTGATGACTTCCTGACACGAGCTTCCTGTAACAATGATCCCGCAAGTAAAATGTCCCTTACCGATCTGGTTCTTACCACTGATGCGACACGACAAATCGAGTTTTGTTAACGCTTCGCGGTCGTTGCTTTTATCCTTGACGAGTACGTGATGGAATTATGGCCGAGACAAGATGACGG